GGCAGAACCTGACTGGGGCAGAACCTGACTGTTGGGGCAGAACCTGACTGTGGGGCAGAACCTGACTGTTGGGGCAGAACCTGACTGTTGGGGCAGAACCTGACTGTTGGGGCAGAACCTGACTGTTGGGGCAGAACCTGACTGTTGGGGCAGAACCTGACTGTTGGGGCAGAACCTGACTGTTGGGCCCCTCTTGCTGCTAAAACATCAGAACCTCTAGCAGCTTCTGTTGGATTTAATCTGGGAGATTAAAGTAGATTAACTGGCCAACCTGAAAACTATCAGTTCTAATTACAGTTTATTAATTTGTATTTGTCAACAAACGGCTCAACGTCAAAGATTAAACTCTCAGCGTCAGACTGTTGCTATGGTAAGAAAACAATCTAACTATGAATATTGTTCTTTGAACTCTTACAAAGTAAACTTGCCAACTCCTTATAATATTACACATAAATGTTAAACAATATTTGAATTGATGTTGAAACCATTCAATCAAATTCAGCAGCATTGATCATCTCAATCAACATGTTACATTTCTGTTTCTGTGTCACAGTATAATCATTGACGGCCCCTGAAGCCCTGGGGCCCCAAGGAGCCGCCGACTTAATGTGGATTCAACACAAGTGCAAATAATTGATATTCATTTTAACTGTAGTTTTGATTTGTTGTTTTAAGACTAGCTGTGGGTTTAAATATTGTTTCACTGGAGATGTTTTCCTGGAACATAATCAGCCAGTAATATTTTTACTTTTCCTGTCCAATTAACGTCTTTAATGCTAAAACACGGCGGACCCCCCGCCGGGTCAGCAGCTTTACTGGGGAAACTCTGAACCGGTTTGTGTGACTTTAATGTTTTGGCATCCAAAGAATCCATTCTGAGTTTTAGGATCATAATTTGCTTGTTGTTTATTTATTATATCTAGTCATTTCAAACTTATCACTCTTATGCATGGGAGTAGCTTTCAGCAAATAAGCAAATTTCCCTTGGGGATCGATAACGTATATTCTGATTTGATTCAGAAACAATTTTTCTATTCAAACTGTCTAAAGATTCAGTTTAAACGATGAAACTGATGAGGAAAACAGTTGCATAAAGTTGTATCACTTGATATTTAAACAATATGGGTTTACACATAGGCCTGTCGCAATAATCAATAAATCACATGATGAATTATGAGCTCAGTTTCAATTACCATGACTTATTGTTTTTCTCTTTCTACAAAAACTAGATGATAAACTTTTCCTTCTGCTGCTTTGCTAAACCGAACCACAAAGTTCTGGAGAACCAGGTTCACCTAGAGGTCAAAGGTGAACCAACAAAGGCCTCACTGTTGGTTTAACGCTGGCAGGCCGTCCTATCAGACATTATGATAATAATAATTCATCCTTCACTTCTGGAACTGCAGCAGATTTATGGCCTAATTAAAGGCTGCCAGTCAGAATCACTTCAGTCCTCAACATGCCTCTGACTTTTAGTTATTTCTAATAAAATGTGTAATGTGAGGTCAACATCTGTGAGGAAGAGCTGCTCCTCTTCATCAGGTGAACTCTGGAGCCGATCAAATCAGATGTCTGAGCTCCAGAGAACAGGAAGTACGAAAATATTCAACCACATCAAAATTCTACGTTATTAAAACCTCCAGCTGGAATAAAGACTAATAAGATGAAAAGTACAAACAGTTTGACCTGAAGCTGATTTAAAACTTCATGTTTTCCTGCTGCCAAAACAAATGATTAATACAACCACCTGCCTCCAGCTGCTGCTAATCACACCATCATATCCACAACACCAGGCTCTTGTGATGGATTTACAGGAAGATCATCAGAAATCAATGAAAATAATCTAATATTTACTTGTTTTCATATACAGATGCATCAAAAATGACTGACCTGACATCAGTGTGCTGCACTTCATGGATAAACTTGTTACATTTTAAAGAAGTGTGTCTTCATGTTTCATGCTATGAAGTTGTCTCTAGATTTTATTAGTGAAAATGTAGAAAATAAGAGTAAGGCGATTATTACAAGTGAATAAACTGATATTCACTTATTCATATGTATACTAAGTGCTAAATGGCTGAAACTTCAAAAATTACATTAGGTTTTATGACACAAATTATCCCCAAACTTTTGTTCTCTTTTTATGTTGCAGCCATATTCCATTTAACCTATAAACCTGATTTTAGCGTCTGTTAAAGGATATTATATTGATTAATTTTCTGATCAATTCGTTTGACAAACATTTATTCTGAGTTTTGATTAAAACCTGTTTTAATCTGAAAACGACAGGCTGACTTTTTAATTCAGACACCTGCTTAGGAAGCTTCATGATGTAAATTCTTACTCTGTTGTTGTTTTCAGTCAAATTAAGGTCAGAGTTCAGTCAGGGGCCGTTTCAGTGAAAGCAGCAGGATTGCTGTTCAGCATTTTACAAACAGATAATATTTTTTTGTTATTTTGGAACTGATTCAACTTAAAAGCGAAGTCTCCATGACAACAATTCCAGATCACCTTTTATTTACCGCTACTGCCAACTGGCCAATCAGAGATCGCCTCTGGAGGTGTGCTCTGAATAAATGGACTGTTGGCGCCACCGTTCTGTTTATAATGTTAGAAACTGAGCTGTTTGTTCATAAAACGGGTTATCTGCCCAGGATAACTGAAACCGAACATGTTCAGCACGTAAACCAACAGATATCTATGCACTGGCAACAGTTAGAAGCATTTATAACAGATAAACTGAGGGCTGGAGCTGCCTGCTGGTTTCCTCTCACAGCAACACGCCGTTAGCCGGAGTTAGCCGGGAACGCAGGCTTCTGCAGGCTGCAGGCCTCAGCATCACACCAACCTAAGCAAACATCCTCATCTCCTCTTCAGTGCTTCATTATAATGAGCTTTTATATAGCTGAAGTTACCTCATGTTCTCTAGCAGTGTCACATTACTAGAATGGAACCGTTTCACCGCTTCAAAATGCCGGTTAGCCATCAGCAGAGACCGGAGCGAACAACATCTAACACCGGCTCTAGCTAAATACCCCACCTCCAAAAACCAAGTCTTTCCGGGTACATACCATGCGGATCTAACGTTGAGTGCACGATGCTGACCCGCTGTAGTGATGGTGGTCCGAATTAGGGAAGAATACTGACCCGGTTCTGTTCACTTGGTTTCCTTTTTTCACCCCAGGTTAGAAAATGGCGGCGAGGTAAAGTCCCGAGGTCCGCTTCTTCCCTTTTAGAGAAACGGGGTTTCTGAGGGGGGGATTCAGGGCTGCTCCGGTTTGATTCATTTGTGTTACAGTGGCGGGAAACGGAGCCGGTGATTGACGTCACTGTAAATCCCAGTTAATGTAGTAATAACACACTAACACATGGTTAATATGTAACTCATAAAACACGGTAACCATGACTTAATGGTCATAATAAGGTTAAAACGCAGTGATGCACCACAACACTACCCCCCAAATGGTAAAAGCGAAGCACAACACAGTAATAAAGTTACAGACAATAACTCAGTGAACAGTCAGAGGACAGACTCAAAGTCAGTTCATCCGATCGAGGTTTTTGTAGTTATAAAATATGTTATGAAACAATGTAAGTTTACATTGACAATAAAATAAACTGGTTAAATTTTATACTAAAAATTATAATTGTGATCTAAAATATCACTATAATAATTACATTTTTTTCACTTTTCCTCTCATCTTCCCTCCATCTTTCTGTCTCCTGTTCTTTGTCTGTTCTCCCCAGTGCTTTTATCACAGTTTTCTTGTGTTGGTTAATAGTTGGATGCACCATTCATCGCCTTCCATGAGCACAGCCTGCTGGAAGCTGCTTCTGAAAATATTTTTGGTGAAATCAACAGTTTTCTAACTTTTAAACAACTTCAGTATGAGAGCATCAAAAGGAAAGACAGGACCATCTCTATCTGAGGGCTCCACCAGATGTTACCACCAGTGCCTGGCTTAAAGGGAAGACTTTTGAAAGTGAAAGCTTGAAAAGTAAACAAAAAGTCTTGTGTCAGGAGGAAGGACAAGTTATCTGTATTTTATCATTTACTGATTAGTCCATGAACAATTCATGACTGTAACTTTAATTAAAACAAATAACTGATTAATTCCATCTTGACTTAATATATTTTACTTTGTGATTTTTTTTTTTAATTTTGGTTTAATTTAAGCTAGTTTTGTTTGTACTGAAAATAACCTCCGCAACACTGTACGTCACTTCCTGTTTCTCCTCAGGGGCGTGTCTTACATGCGTTGTTGGACGCTAATTGGTTGAGCGCGAAATTTCAAAATTAACAGGAATAGAGGCAGCAACAGGAATTGTTATTGTAGTTAAAGTGCTAATAACAGTTCAAAATTTACAGAGTAATATAATCTTTGCTTATCCATAAGGTGAATATATTAATAGTGAGCCAAGTTTTAGCCCGAGCTGAGATGGATATCGCTTCGCATTTACGGTAAAAACACTAGCCCGAGTTAGCCTCCGGTAGCTAATACCAGCTATTAGCTGTGTTTCAGATGCTGGGCTTTTCCTCCTGAAAGTTTTCTCTGTTTCCCCTTCTTTAGGTGTTTTGAAGAAAGTTTGGTCTCCTACAGCGGAGACGACCCGCTGGATCCGTGGGACAGGTAATTCTGCAGGTTTAATCTGAACCGAGGCGGATGAGTAATGAACTTGATTTCTAAATCAATTTCTCTGCAGCTTTAATAGTAAAATCTTGTCCGATCTGATGAGTTAATTAGGAAGTCTCCTGTGATTGTTGTGGAACAGTTTGGATTCCTGACGGCTTTAATCTGGAGGTGGACAAAATGGGTCTCAGAAATTAGAAAAGACGCCAAAATTTCTGAAAATTAATGATTTTATTTGTCATCAAACAGTACAATTTTTTATTTCAGTGAAGGTTTTGGGGTAGCCCTGATTCAGTGTTGAACATATTTATATAAACAGACACATCACAAACAAAAACACAAAGTGAAATATAAAATATAACCCAGATTCAGCAGAATTTTGTACATAATAATGCAAGTTTGTTCTCTCAGAAACCAACACACTTTAATTTTATAATGATCCCTCAACAGTAGAATTGGAAGATATTTTAAATAACCAAAATAAAACATAATGACCAAAATGGAAATGTAACCACACACAGGCGAAACCACAAATAAAATGGATTATGATGTCTCAGTGGAAAAATTGCATGAGAAAATATTACTCATTTGATTGGAAATCAAGCTCATTTTAATTCATCATGCAATTAACTGTTTATTGCTACAGGCTAAGGAAGTTCAAATGACTTTGCACAAGCTTACATAAGTAAATAAGAATGTAATCTAATAAATAAATACAAAATCAGTTGACAAAATATTTGTCTGCTGCCCCAGAGAAACGTTGCTCGCTGTGTTTTTGACTTTTCTGTTCTGGGCTCCTGCAGGTTTGTGGCCTTCCTGGAGCAGAGGCAGCCAGCAGGGGGCAGCAGTGAGATGTCACTGGTGTTTGAGGCACTGGTCCAAAGATTCCTCAACATGGATCAATATGCCAACGACGTCCGCTACGTCAACTACTGCATCAGATGTGTAAGTCAGACTCATTGTTCCGGCGCTGAGCAGCAGGACCGAGCCGCTCATCCTGATTGGTTCAAGGCACTTAGAGCTAACTAGAACCAGTTACAGCTAGTTTCCAAGGAGTGAGTGTGTCCTTTAAGTTTACTGCTGGAGAAACACGGAGGTGTGATTTAGTGAGTTTTAGTGAGTTCTTGATGAATCTGAATGTTCTCATGAAACCCAACCAGCAGTTTATTAATCAGATGAAACCAATTAAACCAATGAATCCAGTCACAGATATACTGAACTGAAATCGTTCCTGGAACCAGAAGGACACTTCTTTGCTTCCTTTCTTTGTTTCTTCCTTACTTTGTTTCCTTCAACTGAGTTCCTTCCTTCCTTGATCCATCCTTTCATTCTTCCTTCCTTCCTTCTTTAGTATCTTAGTCTTCTTTTGTATTTGCAGATTTAATTGAATCGTGTTTTCATGATAAAGGTCCGGTTCTGTTGTCATCCTTGGCGCTGGAGGCTGTGTTGCATTGCTCAGCTTTCTATGGACACCCTGTCTTCCAGGCGAGTTACTGCACAGACCCCGCCACCCTGTACGCTCACGTTTTCAGTCGGGCGTCGGCAGCAGGACGGCGGCTCTGTACCTGGCCTGGGCTCGGCACTTTGAGCAGAAGGGAATGAAGGATCAGGCTGACGCTGTTTACCGGAAGGCTCTGGAGAACCAGGCCCAGCGGCGGACAGGCTGCTCCACGAGTACAGGTGAGTACAGCTACAGCGCCAAACCAACACTGTTTTTAGAAGCAGCTAATGCTAAAGCGCTACTCCAACATGGCATTAAGGAAAGCTAATGCTAAAGTGCTAACCTTAAATGACATCTTTCCTTTAAGGACTACAATCCTTGAGCACAAATTACATTTTAAGCTGAAAATTAGCTGTCCTGTTAGAGTATTAGCAGATTAGCAGAGGTTTGCAGAGTGTAGCTTATGCTGATGTGAAGTGTGACCTGCAGGCAGTTCCAGAGCAGAACCAGAACCGAGGCTCCAGTGTCCGGTGAGACTCTGTCGACCGATTCTCTCCTGACGCCTCGTTGGATCAGCTGCTGATTCTTCCTGTGTTTCATTGGACAGGAGCCCGAGTCCCTCTGCAGAACTCCCAGCTGACCAATCAGATGTCTCCCCAGAAAAAGGTTCCTGTCAGTTACGTTTTCCAACCTTAGCACCAGTATGACCCACTAAACCTCTGGTTCTGTCCAGGCCGCCGCTGCTTCTCCATCCAAACTGCCTGTGAGAAGAACCGTCATGAGGTAAGTCCTTTGAGCTCGTTAGTCCTGGTCTTAACGAGGCGTCCGCTCACTTGTGGTGCGGTCCGTAGCGTGTCCCGCGCCGAGATGTCGGGACGCAGCTGTCCAGTCAGGATGCCGCCACCCTGACAGTCTCCGAGTACAGCGAGGACGCGTTGTACCGCGACGGCGCAGAGTTCTGCTTTGAAGAGGTCCGGGCCGAGAAATACTTCAGGAAGATCCGGGAGAAGCAGGAGCGGGAGCGGAGGGAGAACAGTAAGAACCTGGCGTCCCCTGAGACAGGAAGTGACCCGTTTCTCTGTGAGACAGGAAGTGACCCGTTGCATGTGTTGTCCTTGCAGTGCAGCGGCAGCTGCGGCAGCAGGAGCAGGAGGTGCAGCGGCTGCAGAGCATGCTGCAGCAGGTCAACCAGGGCCTGCAGGCCTGTGGAGCATCTCACTGCCCAGCGCTGCAGGTCACCATGGAGAGGGAGCGCTGCCCTCCTCTCTGCCTTCTGTGTTTCTGTTCCTTCCTCTCTCTGTCTCATCATGTGACCTTTGACCCGGGTAACCTGGTGATGTTTCCCCTCCAGGCCTCTGCTGCTCCCTCCATCTTCTCCAACCTAAGCCTGATCCAGGAGGCTGCCGGTTCCGGTTCTGAGACGACCCGCCCCATCCTGTCGGACTGCAGCGGCGCGGCAGAACCTCGGGCTGCCGGGTCGTCAGCCCAGAGAAACCCGGACGCCCGGCAGCGCGGCGACCTCGGCGCGGCGCCGCTGTGAGTACCTGATGACCTCTGGAGGGGAAACTCACACGGCTGCCTCTAACTTTCGACCCTCCATATTTCCCATCAGGCATTGCGGTCTGGTACCAGAACCTGAGGACAAGCTTGACGGTGAGTCCTCATCGCCCTCCTTGTTCTTCCTGCTCTTCATCCTTCTCATCATCCTCTTCATCGTTCCAGTGTCTCAGGGAGGAGCAGACATTTTCTCCCACGCCACGCCCAACTCCTCTCTGGGCTTCGTCCAGGCCACGCCCTCCAGGGCTCTGCCGTCGCCCACCTCAACACACGGGAAGCCCTGGGTGAGTGCCTGCTTCTGGTTCTGGTTCTGCTTCTGGCTCTGGTTCTGATCCGTTGTTCCTCTAGGCGTCATCATGGACATGTTCCAGGCTCCGACCTTCCTGGAGCCGTTCCAGGGAGCCTCCATGCTGCAGCAGGCCGCTGCAGAACCCGACCCGGACCTGGAGACCGGCGGTAAACGTTCTGGATCTGTAGAACTGCAGGCCGGTTCTGGTTAGCCCGGTTCTGACCCGTTCTCTCCTTCATTGGTTCCAGTGGTCCCGCTGGTACCGGAGCCGCTGGCCTCCGCCCCGTTCACTATCTTCCAGGATTATGAAGACAAAGAGAACAGCAGGTAAACCTTCCTCCTCTTCCTCATCATCAGAGGCTCCTTAAAGAGACAGTACCGTCCTTGGTCCCTTCCTTCCTTGGTCCTTTTCCTCCTGTTTCAGTTTTGGAAGTTTATGATTTGTAAGCATGGAGACACATGGACTGATTGGATGGTTTTGTTTCCTTCAGCGCCATGGTTCTGGTTGAGAGGTCCAAACCGGCCAGGGCTCTGACAGAACTCGGCGGGCCGAGGCCGGACAGACCCAACGTGAGTGTCAGACAGTTATTGGGAATCTCGGGCGGTTCTGGTCCGGGCGGTTCTGGTCCGGGCGGTGCTGGCAGTTGTCGGGCTGAATCCCTGTCCTTGTCCACCAGCAGACGCCGTCGGAGCTGATCCCAGACGAGAGCACCGTGTGGGGCGCTCGCTTCAACGCGCTGGCCGCCTGTCCCAACAGCACCAGCGACTTCGCCCCGTTGGCCCAGTTCGTCTCCACGCCGTTCACTCACAAGACGCCGTTCGGCGGCTGCTTCTTCCTGGCTGAAGGTACCGGCAGAGGCTCCGCCTTCCCCGCCTCCATGATGCTTCACTGGATGAGGCTCTGATTCTGATGTTCCTGCAGAGAATCACGGAGACGGCGGCGACGCTGACCAAAACGTCTTCGTCAGACGACAGACGAAAAAACTCAGGTGAGCCAACATGGGTCACGACCTCTGGGAGTGTCACAGAGGCACTACAGTGGGGTAGTGAGATTTTTGACTTGATATTTTTGTATTGAAGGTTTTGACTTTAAATTCACTTTAACATGAATCCAGCATGTAACAAATCGATAGAGGTGTGATCACATTGGTTTGTTTAAAGTGTCACTAAAACCCAATTTTTACAGATAAAGTGTCTAAATTAGTACTTAAGGATCTGATCTCCATGTTTCTGTTTACATCTGGACATTTTCCTGTAAATGTGTTGAGTTCTGCAACATTTGGCCTGAAACAGCCGGAGTGCTGCCCACTTGTGGTAGAAGTGTGGTACTACAGTTGAATTTCCAGATGGGTTGCTGTGGTGCAACTAAACCGAGCTTCCCTCTGACCGCGAACGTCTCACAGCTTCCCTCTGACCCGCGAACGTCTCACAGCTTCCCTCTGACCCGCCAAACTCTCACAGCTTCCCTCTGACCCGCCAACGTCTCACAGCTTCCCTCTGACCCGCCAACGTCTCACAGCTTCCCTCTGACCCGCCAACGTCTCACAGCTTCCCTCTGACCCGCGAACGTCTCACAGCTTCCCTCTGACCGCCAACGTCTCACAGCTTCCCTCTGACCCGCGAACGTCTCACAGCTTCCCTCTGACCCGCCAACGTCTCACAGCTTCCCTCTGACCCGCCAACGTCTCACAGCTTCCCTCTGACCCGCCAACGTCTCACAGCTTCCCTCCGACTCATAAGAGAAAAGATTTGTCATTAATTTCTTTTTTTGAAAGTTGCTCGTCATTTTTTGTGAAAAAGTCTTGAAAGAGTCTGAAAATTTGCTAAATATATCAACAATAGCTAAATTGTTTTTCAACTGCCCTGACCTCAGTCCTGTTCAAAGGTCAAAGTACATTGAATTTATGCGTTGAACCAAGTTTCACCACATGGTGGCAGTGCATCCGATCGCATCTGTTGCCTCAAGCGACATTTTCATCATATAATATTTATTCCACCAAGCAGTCGTATGTAGCTGATTTTTTTAAATAACAGTCCTACTTTGTTAGCATTTTGGCACTAGCATGCTAGTTGCTTCTCTAGCTTAGCAGCTACATGCTAAGCTGTTAGCAGTGACCATAGCTGGCTGATCGCTGCTGCAGAAGCAGAAATTTATGTGAAATGAGCACATTAAGAGTTTTCATCAATGAACTCGCTGAGTGAGCAAAAACATTTTAAGAGTTTGTGCAAAATCATGTTTTTTCTTCAATAAAGAGGTGAAATAAAGCAGCTGTTGGTTTTTGTCCCTCAGCCCCATCATGGAGCAGAGTCCACCTGATGACGCGGCGGCGGCTGGCGCGCCGCTGCTGCCGGCCTCGGCGCGGCAGGGTACCATCATGGCCGACGGCTTCGCCTCCTCCTGCCTCAGCATGACGCAGCCGCCGCCCGCCCTGCTGTCCTTCAGGGACCAGACGCTCGGCCCGGCCGAGGCCTCCGGGTCCAGCCCTCTGCAGAACCCGCTCAGGCCCAACAGAGAACCGTTTCAGATCCTGGAGGACCCGGAGAGGCCCGGCAGCCCAGAACCAGATCAGAACCGGCTGGGTGACGTTCCCATGAGCCCGCAGTGCGCCCCCACGGCGAGCTGCCTGGACATCAGGAGTCCCTGCCGACCCGGATCGTCCAGCGGCCGGGTCAGAACCCGGGACGTCCCCATGAGCCCGGCGGCGCCCAGCGGCCTCCAGCTGCTGTCTGATCCCTGGGACGCCGACCGGATTTCGGACCTGCTGTCCCGACTCCACCCACCGCTGACCTCTCACCCCTGCTGCTACAGCTGGCCCTGCGCCGTCCCCAGCATCGGCCCCAAGAAGACCCTCAGCATGGGTAGGACCAGCGGGGTCAGAGGTCACAGCCTGAACCGCTCACATAACACACTTTATGAGTCAAACCAACATAAGCAGCAAATAAACAGCTGAAAAGTGTGGCATGCGGCTGTTTTTATGGTGAGAAGTTCCTGCTGGTGTCCAATAAAGGAGCTCAGGTCTGATGTGGTCGGCTCACAGCCAACACGGTGGTGGCAGCATCATGCCTTGGGAAGACGGATGGAGCTAAACGCAGGACGTTATGGTTTAGATCAGAGCAGAGTGGCCTAGTCAAACACCTGATTTGACTAAGAATCTGCAGAAGGACATGAAAGCTGATGACATAAACCCGCTCCACACTTTTCAGATTTTTAGCATTTTTAACTGATCTAATAAACAGAGGAGTTGTGGAAACTTTGAGTAGGACCTTCTCAGACGTCCTGCTGTCCCCCCCTGCAGGATCGTCGTCCCTCAGAGTGGACGCCGTCCTTGGACAGGGAGCCTTCGCCACGGTCTTCCAGGCCACCGACCCCGTGACCTCTGACAGGATGGTGCTGAAGGTCAGGAGGGGGGCGTCCCGCACCACTTCCTGCTCTCCTTTCCTCTGTCCTTGGTTCCTTCTTCAGCTCATATTCCTCGCTTCCTTTTATTTCCTTATTTCCTCCTTTCTATGTCTTCATTTCCTGTCTTCTGCAGGTGCAGAAACCGGCCAATCCCTGGGAGTTTTACATCAACACCTGTCTGGACGCCCGCCTGCCTCCTTCTGTGCGCCAGCTGTTTGGCAGCATCCGCTCCGCTCACCTGTTCCTGGACGGCAGCATCATGCTGGGGGAGCTGCACAACTACGGCACCCTGCTGGTGCGTCCCGCGCCGCCGCCGTTGTTTTCCTCCCATAACGCCGTGTTGCTGCGGCAACGCTTCCTGTATTGTTTTTCTCGCTGCAGAACGCCGTTAACTTGTTCCGGGCGCAGAGCGACAGGGTGATGCCGCCGGCCCTCGTGCTTCACTTCGCCGTCTGCATCCTGCACACCGTGGAGCAGCTGCACGCCGCGCGCATCATCCACGCCGACATCAAGCCTGACAACTTCCTGCTGGGAGAGAGGTAAGTCCGTCTGCCGGTTCCGGTTCTGGTTCCGGCCCGTCTGATGCCGTCGTCCCGCCCCTCCAGGTTCCTGGAGAACCGGTGCTTCGACGCGGACGCCGTGGACCCGGCCTCGTCCTCATCGACCTGGGGTCAGAGCATCGACATGGCGCTGTTCCCAGAATGCACTGCGTTCACCGCCAGGTGTTTGACGTCCGGCTTCCAGTGCACCGAGATGCTGAGCGGGAAACCCTGGAGCTACCAGGTAGAGGGCGGGGCTTTGACGTAAGGGGCGGGGCTTTGACGTAAGGGGCGGGGCTTGACTGCCTGTAGAGGAGATTCATTAATTCATCAGTGATGAGAAATGAAAGAAAACTGAGAAAAGTTTTTCACATTTACTTATTTGTGATGTTTGCATTCATTTTTTCTCAAATGTATTTATTGTTATATTTTATTATTAGGTTTTATTTAATTCTTATAATATTGTTATTGTGACATTTGGTAAAACCTTCTCCATCATTTTATTAACTATATTTATTATACGTATTTACATTATTATTTTTATTTTTTGATTATTTTAATCATTATTTAACATTTGTTTTATATTTCATCACTTGGTAAAAGTTCATAATTTATTTATGTAAATTTTTTATCTTTTCATGTAGTTCTTAATAATTAATATTTTATTAATATAATTATATTTTCATGGAACTGGACACATCTGGTCACATTTCTATAATAGCACTTCGAAGCGATGAATCCACTGCACCGATTGGCTGAGCTGTGGCGGTCCGACCAATCGGATGCTTCCCTGTTAAACAGCCAATCAGTTAAAGGCAGTCTGAGGCAAGGTTGATCTTTGACCCTCAGAATGATTTCTGAACTGGATTAAAGAGTCAAAGCTGAATTATTGGTTGCAGATTAATTCTGGATCAGAGTGAACTCCGGGTTCTGGTCATCAGAACCACCAGAACCCAGACCAGGTGTGAATATAAACCTGCTCTGTGTTTCCAGACGGATTACTTTGGGATCGCGGGAACCGTCTACTGTCTGCTGTTTGGGACCTACATGCAGGTCGTTAATGAGGGCGGCGTCTGGCAGACCAATGGCATCTTCAGACGGTAACCCGATCACCCTCCGGTCCCTCTGGACCCGGCCCGGTTCTCCTCTAACCGCCTCCTCTCCTCCAGGAAACCCCACGCCGACCTGTGGCTGGACTTCTTCCACACGCTGCTCAACGTGCCGTCCTGCGGCGCGCTGCCCAGCCTGCAGGGCCTCCGGCGCCGGCTGGCCGCCGTCCTGCAGCAGCACTACGGCAGCAAGCTGGCGACGCTGAAGAGCCGCCTGGTGGTGCAGCTGCTGGAGAACCACCGGGCCCGCAGGTGATCCTGTGGGGAACGGCCGGATCGACAGACTGCTTTCACTGAATCACACATTCTGTAAATATATTGTTTTTTTTATGGGCTTCATTTTGTAGAGCTGTGAAATGATTCTTACATTGTTGATGACAATAAAATGTTGGAGTCTTGTTGAGTTTTGTTTCTGCTTCAAAAGGACCTGAGTGGCAGCATAGTGTCCCAAACGCAGATGTTTCAAGATTTGGATCATAAAAAATCAAGAATTTAATCTTAGATGATTGTAATATTTTAACAGATCAGTAAAAACTGCTATGGTCATTAATGTGCTGATGATTTTTGTTCCAAACCAAATTAGTCTGTCGCAGCGAGCACCAATTGCTGCCATGGCGATAACTGGGAGCTAATGCTAAAGCGCTACATGGAGGAGCGTCATCACTGGCGCTAATGCTAAAGCGCTACATGGAGGAGCGTCATCACTGGAGCTAATGCTAAAGCGCTACATGGAGGAGCGTCATCATTGGCGCTAATGCTAAAGCGCTACATGGAGGAGCGTCATCACTGGAGCTAATGCTAAAACGCTACATGGAGGAGCGTCATCACTGGAGCTAATGCTAAAGCGCTACATGGAGGAGCGTCATCACTGGCGCTAATGCTAAAGCGCTACATGGAGGAGCGTCATCATTGGCGCTAATGCTGCTGATTAGCAACATGGTAATTCAGGGAAACAAAGAATAAAGTTCATGATGCACTTATTTCAATTCAAATTGTGCTTGAAAGCTCACACATTTATTTTCATATTATTTACATTTCCTATAAGTTCATAAATATTGAGTTTGTCCTGAGGCCTTTTCTCATAATTTGGATCCGAGTCGCGTTCAACACGCCTGTTGATGCTGTGAGTTCAAACCCTCAGAACGTTTCCTACCGTTTTATTTTCTGATATGTTCACTGGAGAGGAAACGGAAACGCCTTGAAATGTCAAAAACATGAATTTAAATGTCTAAGCAAATAATTCATAACAGTCAAGAATCAAACTTTATTGAACTCAAAGTTTACAAATCAGCCAAGTGTTATTGCGACGTTCTTCTCTGGACTTAAACGTCTCAGCCCGGTTCTGGTTCTGATTCTCCGTCGCAGAATTTTGGTTCAGAAATTGAGGAGAAATTTCACATTAAAGCTGCAAACAGATTTTAGATAAACTGAAAAACGGATGTGAAGGCGGTTCTGGTTCTGGTTCTGGTTCTGCAGATCAGAGAGTCGACCATCAGAAATGGACAGAAAGTTCTACCAGGGTCAGAGGTCATAAGGCCCCCACCTCGGAGCTCCAGGGTCGGTGGGGGGGCTGTGAGGAAGAGGAGGAGGGGAGGAAGGACAGAGGGGCGGAGAAGGAGAAGAGGGGGGCAGAGAACTGGGGGGGCAGCAGGGAGGAAGAGGAGGAGGAAGGTGAAGGAGCACTGCAGGTCACGCTGTGCTGCAGCAGGTCCCTCGGCCTCTGGGGGGCGCTGCAGCCATGCGCTCCGTACGGTAGCGGGTACAGCGCCGCCTCCCAGTGGCTGTAAGGGGGAGGGCGGGGCTGGAGGCGGGGCTGCAGGCGGGTCGTCATGGCGGCGGCGTCCCGCTGGTCCGCGCAGTGGCTGAGGTGGGCCAGCAGGCGGCGCCGCAGCGCATTGCAGGAGTCCAGGGGCTCCACGGTGCTGAGGTAGCAGGACGCTTCGCTCACACACTCCCTGAAGCCCAGAGACAGGAAGTCCAGCGCCAGCACTTCCTGCTGACCTGACCAACACACACGGCCATTTTGAATTAATTCACTTTTACAGGAACAGAAATATTAATAGACAAACCAGTTAGCCAAACGGCTAATGCTAAAAAACACCTGAAGGAATAAAATTACATGACATCACTTCCTGTTGAACATTTATCTGCTCTCATACAGGAAGTGTTCACCCCTCTGCAGGAAGTGGCAGCTCTGCGTCGTCGTGATTACCTGTCCCTCCCGTCTGCAGCGTCCTCAGATGCTCCACAGTCATCTGCAGGATCTGGGCTTTGTCCAGTTTAGCAGAACCCTGCAGGAAGCGGCGTGGCGCCGTTAGCCGTTCTGATGCTAACAAAATTATCTAAAAGCATTTTTATTTAAATTGTTGTCAGTTATTTCCCTCAGCTGCTGATTGACTGTTGAAACCAACAAATTTATAGATTTATTCTCGTTTCATTTAATAAAAAAATGCTTTCAAAGTTCTGATTTCCACTTTTCTTCCAAAAACATATTTCTGGAGTTCCTCAGGGCTCCATTCTCACGTCCCTTTGATTCATGGATCCATTTTTCGCCTCAGAGGGAAAATATTTGAGAAATAAAAGGTTCAGTTTGTCAGAAAACTTAATGAAAGGGTCTGAGCTGCAGATCCAGATTCATTCTGCAGATAAAATCCAGAAAAAATTTACAACCATTTAGGATTTCATCTGATAGTTTAGCTCTTTTTGAAAATAGAAAGTCTGACAATTAATTTATAAATAAAGTAATACATTTAATTTATTAATAAAGAAATAAATTATTTATTCATTATAAATAAAGAAATAAATTATTTCTTCATTATTTATAAAGAAATAATAAATATTTCTTGATAAATATTTATGCAGAAATATTTTTCTTTATTTATTTCTTTATAAATAAATAGCAGAAAAATAAAAGATAGAAAAATTTTGTATTTTTTAATTTTGCAATAAAAACTGATTTAAAAAAAAATTAATACAAAAATCATTTTAAAATAAATTTCTTTTCGATGGGCGACAGATGACTTTATGAATTGTACAACTAAAATTAACTGGTAATTTAGAGATTAAAAGTGTGATAAATCCTAATTAAATTCAGAAAATGTGATTATTTTTTGTTTTGCTGCATCAGAAACATGGGAGCTGAGAGGTCAAAGGTCAGTACCGTACTCGTACTCGTACCGGCGGCCTGTCTCTGCCAGGCCGCCGGTACGAGTCGCCGTAACTCCGCCAGGCTGCCGTTGATCCGATTCCTGCGCCGCTTCTCGATGATCTGGAACCGACAGGAAACTGAAGCAGCGCCAGAGCCTGCGGACGCGGCCAGGCGCCGGCCGACCTACCCCTCTGCGCCGCTTCCTCGCCATCAGCTGCGCGCTGGAGACACGAGTCCGACCGGATCCCTGCAGAGGAAATCCAAAGATCACTGGAACCTGCAGCAGATTCTCATCCATAATTTCAGCAGGAATCTCAGAATTACTGAATACTTTCTGCAAAAATCACACATAATAATGTTAAAGGTTCTCCAGGGAGGTTAGAGGTTCTCCAGGGAGGTTAGAGGTTCTCCAGGGAGGTTAGAGGTTCTTCAGGGAGGTTAGAGGTTCTCCAGGGAGGTTAGAGGTTCTTCAGGGAGGTTAGAGGTTCTCCAGGGAGGTTAGAGGTTCTCCAGGGAGGTTAGAGGTTCTCCAGGGAGGTTAGAGGTTCTCCAGGGAGGTTAGAGGTTCTCCAGGGAGGTTAGAGGTTCTCCAGGGAGGTTAGAGGTTCTCCAGGGAGGTTAGAGGGTTCTCCAGGGAGGTTAGAGGTTCTCCAGGGAGGTTAGAGGTTCTTCAGGGAGGTTAGAGGTTCTCCAGGGAGGTTAGAGGTTCTCCAGGGAGGTTAGAGGTTCTCCAGGGAGGTTAGAGGTTCTTCAGGGAGGTTAGAGGTTCTCCAGGGAGGTTAGAGGTTCTCCAGGGAGGTTAGAGGTTCTTCAGGGAGGTTAGAGGTTCTCCAGGGAGGTTAGAGGTTCTCCAGGGAGGTTGAGGTTCTCCAGGGAGGTTAGAGGTTCTCCAGGGAGGTTAGAGGTTCTCCAGGGAGGTTAGAGGTTCTTCAGGGAGGTTAGAGGTTCTCCAGGGAGGTTAGAGGTTCTCCAGGGAGGTTAGAGGTTCTCCAGGGAGGTTAGAGGTTCTCCAGGGAGGTTAGAGGTTCTTCAGGGAGGTTCTCACCCCGCAGGAAGCCTCTCATGGCCCGTCAAGCTGCTGTCCTCACACGGCCGGTGCATGGCGCCTGGCGGCGGGGAGAGCCGCCGGACTCGGACCCGTCAGAGTTCCGGAAGTTTTCCAGAATCAGGAATCCGCTTCGGATGTCCTCCAGAAATCAGAACTTCTCTCTCGGATCTTCCAGCGGTCCGGGCTGACGACCTCCCTCTCTTCATCCTCCTCCTCTTCCTCTGCTGCCGCAGCGTTCCCACGGAGTGACTCAACCCTGTGTCTGCTTCAGAGTAAGAGTGCGACAGAAAGGTATGGAAAATGAAAAGTGCCAAATTTAATCATCCCTGAAAATTCACGCAAAGAATTTACTATTTTTGTTAAAAGTAAAATTTTTACATCTTTATACTAAAACCTTCCAAGGAGGACGAAGAAGAGGAGGAGGAGGAGGAGGAAGAGGAGGAGGAAGAGGAGGAGGAGGAAGAGGAGGAGGAAGAGGAAGAGGAGGAGGAAGAGGAAGAGGAGGAGGAGGAGGAGGAGGAGGAAGAGGAGGAGGAAGAGGAGGAGGAGGAAGAGGAGGAGGAAGAGGAGGAGGAGGAAGAGGAAGAGGAGGAGGAAGAGGAGGAGGAGGAAGAGGAGGAGGAAGAGGAGGAGGAAGAGGCAGAGGAGGAAGAGGAGGAGGAGGAGGAAGAGGAGGAGGAGGAAGAGTAGTAAGTTGCTGTCCTGGCAGTGATGAAGGTGAAGACGTGTCGGAGACGCCGTAATCTCCGAGCACTTGAACGCCTCACACTGGAGGAGGAAGATCTCCCTTCATCTTCATCGCAGCGGCTCAGCGCTGCTGTCGACACACACTTAAAACCCTCCAGAACCAGAACCGGGCCGAGCAGAACCAGAGAGCTGCTGCTGATCTAAACACACTGGCCTGATACCAAATAAAGAACGATCAGATCTGAGAGAATGAATACAAATGTCACATGAAAACAAATCTTTAATAAATCAATCAATTCAAATTATTTTTTATTCCCATGAAAAACTTCCAGTTTGCTTCTTATTTTGGGTTTGACTGAATGAAAGTCAAAATGTTTCGTCTTTTCTCACATCAGAAAACACTTCCTGCCTTCAGTCCTGTTTTAATCCAGCAGTAGAAGCAGATCTGAGTCATTTTGGTCAGTAGATTTTCATGTCAGAGTCGTAGTTTTGACCCGTGTTCCTCCTGAGCTGCGGCCGCAGACGGCCCTCGCCCCCCACTTTGAGCCCCTGGGTGTTCTCTCTTCTCTTTGCGGATCATTCCGATGTTTTCCAGCTGGCTGTCGATCCGCATTCCTCTGGTTATCTGTCTGGGCCTTATCAGGAACGCCGCCATCTGTTTCTGGTCACCAGAACCAGAACCGGGCTGATCCAGCAGATTCTGCTCTGCCTGAGTCTCAGCTCAGCAAAAAACATTTCTTTACGTTTGTCGAGACAGTTTTGTTCATAGCAGAGCTAACCTTTAGCTTAGCGCTTTGCTGTGAATCATTTAGCGCACTTCGCTGCCCCTAAATAAATTGTTCAGTTTCAGTTGGATGAAATTAAACTGAATAAGTTAATAAGTTTTGGTCATTAAGGTTTCATGCTCTTATTTTGAAGTTTGTTTACTCAGTTCTGTTTCCTCTCCTGCAGTTAGAAAAGTAAAACATTTCTGAGAAAAAAATTAATTAACTTTTGAAATTTGCTAAAATAAATTAATTTAAAAAAGAACATATTTTAGAAAAATTCCAATTTTTGCTCAATCTCAGAAGATTTCTAGAAAACTTCTGGGCATTTGTGAGGTTTAAAAGTTACAAATGTTCAACATTGGAAAATTTTTAAAGTTTCAAAAGTTGAAACGTTCACGTTTTTTATTCTTCCTTTTATTTTTCTCTTCTATACAAAATCAGCTGTGTTCATTAAACATCATGGTTCAATTTAGCATTTTAGCATTAGCTTTTGCTAAATACCACTGTGGTGTAGCGTTAGCAGAGCTAATGGTTATGATTAGCGCAGCTAGCTTTACAGTTAGCATTGCTCACCACAGGTAACATATGTACAACAAGAATCGCTCTTTATTTTATAAATTCAGTGTTTCTCGGCCGAAGCGGATCCGCCGTGGGCCCCTGCGCTCGCCGTGGGCCCCTGTGCTCGCCGTGGGCCCCTGCGCTCGCCGTGGGCCCCACCGTGGGCCCCTGTGCTCGCCGTGGGCCCCAGTGCTCGCCGTGGGCCCCACCGTGGGCCCCAGTGCTCGCCGTGGGCCCCACCGTGGGCCCCAGTGCTCGCCGTGGGCCCCAGTGCTCGCCGTGGGCCCTGTGCTCGCCGTGGGCCCCAGTGCTCGCCGTGGGCCCCACCGTGGGCCCCAGTGCTCGCCGTGGGCCCCACCGTGGGCCCCAGTGCTCGCCGTGGGCCCCAGTGCTCGCCGTGGGCCCCTGCGCTCGCCGTGGGCCCCAGTGCTCGCCGTGGGCCCACCGTGGGCCCCAGTGCTCGCCGTGGGCCCCAGCGCTCGCCGTGGGCCCCAGCGCTCGCCGTGGGCCCCTGCGCTCGCCGTGGGCCCTGTGCTCGCCGTGGGCCCCACCGTGGGCCCCAGTGCTCGCCGTGGGCCCCTGTGCTCGCCATGGGCCCCAGTGCTCGCCGTGGGCCCCACCGTGGGCCCCAGTGCTCGCCGTGGGCCCCACCGTGGGCCCCAGTGCTCGCCGTGGGCCCCAGTGCTCGCCGTGGGCCCCTGTCTCGCCGTGGGCCCCAGTGCTCGCCGTGGGCCCCACCGTGGCCCAGTGCTCGCCGTGGGCCCCACCGTGGGCCCCAGTGCTCGCCGTGGGCCCCTGTGCTCGCCGTGGGCCCCAGTGCTCGCCGTGGGCCCCAGTGCTCGCCGTGGGCCCCACCGTGGGCCCCAGTGCTCGCCGTGGGCCCCACCGTGGGCCCCAGTGCTCGCCGTGGGCCCCAGTGCTCGCCGTGGGCCCCTGTGCTCGCCGTGGGCCCCAGTGCTCGCCGTGGGCCCCAGTGCTCGCCGTGGGCCCCACCGTGGGCCCCAGCGCTCGCCGTGGGCCCCGCCCCGCCGTGGGCCCCAGCGCTCGCCGTGGGCCCCAGCGCTCGCCGTGGGCCCCGCCCCGCCGTGGGCCCCGCCCCGCCGTGGGCCCCAGCTCGCCGTGGGCCCCAGCGCTCGCCGTGGGCCCCGCCCCGCCGTGGGCCCCGCCCCGCCGTGGGCCCCAGCGCTCGCCGTGGGCCCCTGCGCTCGCCGTGGGCCCCAGCGCTCTCCGTGGGCCCCAGCGCTCGCCGTGGGCCCCAGCGCTCGCCGTGGGCCCCAGCGCTCGCCGTGGGCCCCGCCCCGCCGTGGGCCCCGCCCCGCCGTGGGCCCCAGCGCTCGCCGTGGGCCCCTGCGCTCGCCGTGGGCCCCAGCGCTCTCGTGGGCCCCAGTGCTCGCCGTGGGCCCCAGCGCTCGCCGTGGGCCCCGCCCCGCCGTGGGCCCCGCCCCGCCGTGGGCCCCAGCGCTCGCCGTGGGCCCCTGCGCTCGCCGTGGGCCCCAGCGCTCTCCGTGGGCCCCAGCGCTCGCCGTGGGCCCAGCGCTCGCCCCCAGCGCTCGCCGTGGGCCCCAGTGCTCGCCGTGGGCCCCAGCGCTCGCCGTGGGCCCCAGTGCTCGCCGTGGGCCCCCGCGCTCGCCGTGCTAATGTTGACATTTGTTGAGCTTTCCAAATGAAGGGTTTGGGAAAAAAGAATCTCCTGGACTTCCTCTGGTTCCACTGGTTGGTCTCATCTGGCCAGTGTCAGTCAGTTCATCGGGCCAAACTTTGACTAAGCTGCTGGTTAAAAACGGCATGAATCCATAAGAAGGTTTTTGTTTTGATGTGCAAAAATGGGAACACAGAGAGAATCTGAGTTTAACAGGAGGAAATGATCCAGAAATAGAAATTAAACCATTTTTCATTTATGTTGTGAAAAGTGTTTTTTTTCCCATTAAATCCGTTTCTCTTTCCATATTGTGCAGTGGCGGAGCTAGACTTTTTTCCAAGGGGAGGCCAAAGGCTGAGCAAGGCTTTATCAGAGGGTAAATATACAAATGATGAACGAAAGGAAACAAATATTTTCTCACACACTCAAATTAAAATGGTTTATTTAACTAAGATTTGCCATGACCAAACAAGATGTTAAACGGCTCTATGGACCAGTGAACATGTAAATGTAAACTCAGAGCCCAGAATATGATAAAAACAAATTCTCAAAAATAAATAAATAAATAAAACTGGCTCCAAATAATAAACTGCAAGACAATACCACTATAGCTGACCAGCATTACCCTGGTGGTATATATAAAGATTTGAGAAACACTGCTATGGTCAAATAAGCTTTGAATGGAACAACATACTGGAAACTCAAAGCCAGGATACGTTCAACAGAGCATAATTCTCCGATTTTGGTGGGAAGAAGCAAAATGTTTCACAAAATCATCCATGTTGAGGGTATGTGCCCTCCTTGACTCAACACTGAGAATGCCAAGATGACTTAACCTGTCATCAGCCATAGTTGTTCTAAGGTGGTTTTTGATCAGTTTTAGAGAAGAAAAAGTTCGCTCACAGGACGCAGTACTGACTGGGATAACAACTGAAATCTTACAAAGTCTAAAAAGCTCATGAAAAACCTCTTTATAAGGTTCCAGGAACACAACAAAGTCAAGTAAAGTAGAGGGTCTCTCTGACCCACCTCATTCTCTTCTCAGAAGAAGCCGTCTGGTTTGGTGAACCTCATGTTTAAGATCTTCTAGATCTGACTCAAATGTCTGTCCAAAAGCATACAGTGTTTCTTCTTTCAAGAATGATGGGCTTTTTGGGACTAGAGACTGAACCCCTAGATTATCTCACAATTCTTCTGTGAAAAACGCCTCTCAAGCTCAGCTGTGAGACAGTCAAGTATCTGATAAAAGACACCTCTGTTAAAATCCTCATTACTTTGGTCACTGTGCCTCTGTCCTACAGTAGTCATTACCAGTGAGTCCAAAAACCTGGAACTGGTCTTAGGCTGTGTCTTGCTGAATGGCAGGGTGCTGATTGTGCAGCGTTCTACTAGTTCTTGAGTGTCCCTCAGTAGTTCACCAAAGCAAGTTTCACTTCTGTAGCTTTTCAATGTGTCTGTCAGATTGCTAGATTGAAGCATGTCAGACAGGATTTTGATATCCCCAGGCACTTTACAAAAAGTAACTAAAAGTGCTATAAACTGAAAATCAATCTGAGCCAAAAGACCCTTTGCTTCCACTTTTCTATCCCCACTGTTATTTTCAAGGGAAATATCTTGCAGAAGCCTCAAAACCGCTGGAAGCCTGTCTCTCACATTGCGACATGCCAGGTATCTACATGCCCACCTA